AAATAGTTCTGTAAATGGGACCTGACGACCTCACACATTACCTGTCAATCTGACCAAAGATTCTCGTTTTGGGACGCTTACTGTTCAACTCTCACACTGCCCAGTCACAATTTAAATCATTTGTAAATGAGGGGGTACACTATGTAGGCTAATACCCCCTGCCTTTACATAAATACTTCTGCACGTCGCTACCAACTGAGACCATCAGTGGATTCCATATACTTCTCCGAAAAATGTGCAGATATGTTCTTGAACTTTACTAAAATTATCCTATTTTTATTTGTAACGCAAATTTTGTACAGTGGGACCGTACAACAGTTGTTTATAGATTTAAAAAAAGCTATGACTCTGTTAAGAGAGAATAGTTTCACAATATTCTCACAGAATTTGGTATACCAAAGAAGCTAGTGAGTCTAATAAAAATGTGATTAAATGAAACCTGTGGCAAAATTCGTATAGGTAAATATTTAACAGACTCATTTTCCATCAAGAACGGCCTGAAACAAGGAGATGCTTTGTCTCCCTTGCTCTTTAACTTTGCGCTAGAATACGCCATCAGGAAAGTCCAAGATAGGCAGGAGGGTTTGCAATTGAACGGGACACATCAGCTATTGGCATATGCTGATGATGTTAATTTATTGGGGGACGATATGAATACAATAAAGAGGAACGCAGAAGTTTTACTAGAGGCTAGTAGACAGGTGGGGCTAGAAGTAAATTCAGAAAAAACTAAGTACATGTTAGTACCTAGTCAGCAGACAGGCATCACACATCGAGGGCTTGAACGATTAGGCCACCTCAAGATGTCAGACGACGGTACAAATTCTGAAAAACATCCTGTCTGTACAATCCTCTCCGCGACAGAGTTCTTGACTCTCAATTCATATTTAACATCCACAGGAATGGACAACCTACGACTCAGTAATATCAGTGGTGTTTTACATGAAGATTCAAAACTGGGCTGCATGAAGAGTTATTAAAATGCATATACATTAACCAACTAACAAGATGGCTTACAGGACCCGAAGGTTCATCACCGAATTAACCAAATCCCTTCACCGGACCCTGTCCTGGGCCAACAAAATCCAGTCTCCTTCAACTCCTATCTCCCGTCTGATATTACCCTCCAATTCACGTATACATTGTAATGTCCAGACAAATAATGCAAAGGCCAAATATTCCTTAGAGTAAGTGAAAACCACGAAGCTTTAGGAAACATTTCTCGGCACCACCATCAAGGGAACGCCTTGAAACGGTTACTTAGGCAAGTCTACGTAAAGAACTCTGTCCCTGTTTCGACCACGAGCCTAACAGCAGTCTGATTCGGGCTATTAATAAACAAAATTCCAATACGCGTTTGAACATCAGCGTAAATTGACAATGACGGTATACTACAAACATATTTTATCATATATATTTACTCTGACATTACATAGCAACAGAAAGTGTCACCCACGGGTACGGATTTTCCTTTCGCCACGGTTGAGTGGATGAGCTGTATTTGTCCAGTCCTATGTCGATACTCTAGAAACAAAAAGTAACACAAAACCACGAAAGATGTTCTGGTACAGAGCTGTCGCTTAAAGACAGAAAGAACCGTTTGTAAGTAAAGAAGAAACCTTGCAGTTCGACGAATCCATTCTGCCTTCTATACAAAAGAACCGAACGTATCATAAAATAGCCTTATGAAGTTTCAGAACAAAACTTCGCAGAAGACAGACACGCAAAACGACTTACCACCATTTCAACACGTCGCGAGAAATGTCCGAGATAATGTACGGTAAAAGTCAACTGTTCTGTACATCCGAGCGTGATAAAAACACACATTCTTCAAAGAGCGTGTGGATTCTCCTACTTTAAATCAGATAAATATGTATTACCACAGCTCCGTGAGAGACAAATACAGCGGGAAATAAAAGATGCGACCATGTCTCTACAAGCGATGCATCAAGTATTCACGTGTTACAGTCTGTCTTTTGGGTTGTTTGCGCCGATGTAGTCCGGTAGAAGTTTACAGACGTTTCAGACATACATGCCTTCATCACACAGGCGATCGCCATGGCAAGAGGCAGGAAGCAATGCTGAAACGTCGGCAAAATTCTACCAGACTCAGCCGCGAAAATAAAAAACCAGCATTTGAACATACACAAAAGCATACAAGTATGACGACGACATGAAGATTCCTAAAACGGAAGCAACTAAAACTGTTAGGTAAAGCGTGTTCGTGTCTCCATGGTTGAAGCATAATAAGTAAAGCGGTGCAAAGCGATGTGCTGAGTGCGACAAGCTTTACCTTTGAGTATAGTAGTGATTGGTGGTGTATCCGCCGAAATGACCTTCCTACAACACCACATAGCTCTAAAGGCCAGCAGCTTCCGCCCCTCCCTCTAAACTCATTCAGAATATCACAGGAATTCCCATCAGTAACAAAGGAAAAAAAAATGCCACGTATGAGGTGTTTATTGGTAGTGCTACTCTGGCCTATACTGACCGAAAACAAGAGTATGATCAGCTACGAAGGCCGCGATAGCCAGAAAATGTCGGTCGATACAAGGCAGACGCCGAGCCTGCGTATGAACGCGACACCCACTGTCCTCGTGAGCGGTCGCCGAAACACGTATTTGCGCGGGTGTGCTTGAATAGTTCCGAACCACGGTTGAATTTATAACGGGCGGTTGATAGACCAGGATGTTACGCTTTGAAGGAATTCATCTTTCGCCAACTGCATATACTGTGGATAATTTCAAAACAAAACTCTATCACCACGATTGTCAAACATAAACGTCACATAACACGTAAATTTTCAACGGAGATTATGGATATAGTACTACAAATTATCAAACTGCACTGGTGTGAGGATTTCACTCTCGCAAACGAGCCATTTACGACCTTCTGGTTACATTTAAGTACACTGTGAAGCCATCCAAGCGAAGTTGATGTCCCGCTCTTGTTTCTTCCTACATATAGAAAGGACCTTCAGAGAGGAAAGGTGAATGTACTACGAAAAAAGTCAGCTGAACCGTCTCCACAGCAGAGGCTACATCATTCGGTCTGAAGACCAAACCTACAGGCGTAACCCTATTCACGTTTCTTCGTCGAACGTTCTTCCAGTAGTGCAAAGGGCGACAGACAGATGGTGTCATGGTGCGAAACGCGGTTTGTCGGTAAAACAGGCTGCAGCTGCACTGGCGATTTTAGATCTTACGCCATTAACTGCAAACACCGAGTTCCTAAAGTAATGCCGTATTAGGTGTGGTTATGTGCGTATCGAATACGTCACTAACTTGCGAGTGGGAGCAAAACAATGCATAATCTATGAAAACCAAACACGTTACCGACAGAACACGAGACGAGATGCAAAGCAATCTCGGTAGAAGTGTGGACAGATGGTTATCTGCTACCACTCTGATACTCCTGCCTTTTACTTCTCACGAATCTCGAGCGCGCAGATTCGCCCCGACTACGAATACGATCTTTTCAGTGGCCATATTTAATTAACTGCGCACTGTTAACAATGAACGATATTACGTAAAACTGTGACGGAGACAAAATAAAGGAATTGTAAACCAAAAGCTGTTCGTTGAAGCCAAAAATGACAAATTTTCTGGTACCATTACCACTACTTTCACACCTACTATTTATTTTATTTATTTAGTGTTCTGTCTGACGAAAGGTCCATATGAACAGGATCCTTCCATCCTTTTCTCGGACTGGGACCTGTTCATATACGTTCTTGGCAGATGAACCAGAAGTGGTTTGCCATTGCCTTCTTCTGTGTGTAAGGAGTAATTGTTGGGATGCCACGGAGAAACCGGGGAAGCCCCCGGAGGAAAACTCCGTGTTGCCTAGGCCACGGAAATGCTAATACGCAGAACGAGTAATACTAATAATGAATACTAATTATTACAATTTATAATAATAAATAATGATAAACTACATCAATAATACGCTAGTGATACTTATACTGTGAATACACTTCCAACCGATGTTTACAGCACTAGAGGTGACTTGCTTGAAGTATGTTTGGAATGACAAACCACATGAGAAATGCAAGTGGTCTGTTGGGCCAATTGGTAAACTTTCGAATTTTAGGCTGTTTACATGTCTACACACAGCAGCAATTATGGGTCCCAGTCCTAGTGCCGTAAGTTGGTCACAATTTGATAACGATCCACTCTACACCTAAAACAGTTCGGAATATACCAGAGCAATTCAAGAAGACATTATTTACTGATTTACTGATACGGTGGTCTAGCGGTTAGAACGCTGGCCTTGTAATCCTGGGGTCTCGGGTTCGATTCCCGGCGGTGCCCGAATTTATAACTTGTGTTGGGCAAGGCCGTGGTCTAGGCAACACGGAGTTTTCCTCCGGGGGCTTCCCCGGTTTCTCCGTGACATCCCAACAATTACTCCATTCACACACAGAAGAAGGCAATGGCAAACCACTTCTGGATCATCTGCCAAGAACGTATATGAACAGGTCCCAGTCCGAGAAAAGGATGGAAGGATCCTGTTCATATGGACCTGTCCTTAGACAGAACACTAAATAATATTCTATGATAAGAAAATTAGGGATTAAACTTTTCCCGCTGAAGTACAGACAGCATCGACTAATCTAAGATAATACTAGACGTGAGTTCAGTGTGTGGTGCAGGAAAAGCTAAGAGTTTCTTAGCTCGTCACGAAATTAACCGCCTCTTAGAGTCGAAAGGTGTTCACAAGAACCACTCTAACGTTGGGTGAAAGTTAGGACTGGGCCTACGAATTATAAAGCTCCCCACTGTGCAACTACGTACCTTCAGTTACTTCCACAACTCTTTCAGGTGCAAATGCTGCCCTCATAACTTTGTTCTCGACTACCCTCAGAGCTGTCCACTCGTGGTGACAGACTCATACAAATGCAAACGAAGAAATTATAGTTTTGTCAACTTACAGACAGACAGACAGACAGAAAATTACATTACATATGACGATCTGAGGAAACTAGGCTGGGTACTTACCATTTTTCCGCATATAAGAATTCTGCATTCGGTTTCCAACTTACAAAGCACATTTTCGCACATACCTGTAAGAGACAGAAAATTTACTTCACATTAACATATAAAAGATTACATATAAAATACAAATAAAAGTAATGTACAAGCATGCGGACGGGCAGTTCTATATGCGTTATTTATGTGCACATCATCCATAATAATCTAAAACACAAACCATACACGTCCCAAAACGCAGACAGACATTGCAGAGGCCGGGACATGTTTATTACATAACGTATGTTACATGACGCAAACTGCGATGCAATCTATTAGCGAAGCTACGGAGGGGAGACGAATTTCACGTTCGTTAACTGCAGCTCATGTTCTGGAAATCAGAAGACAAGAGAACAGTACCTAAAACAGACGAAAGGTGGAACCAACCGCGCATGACTTTTCTCTAGCGAGGAGTTGACAGTTAACCTCAATTGTACACGAATTTTCACAAGCATTGTTCCTAGACACATCAATTTCATCTTGTATGTGACATTTTATTACATTAAGTAAAGGCGATCTGCTTTCACTTAATAATCTTAGCTCGCTTCAATACTTTACACAGACTGTTGTTAAAATATCGTATTTACACGTAAGTGTGCCTAAACTATTAGAATCAAAACAATGATGATGATGATGATAATAATAATAATAATTCAATTTAATTCCTTTACTTTAGTGTTTGCCAACAGAGAAGAGCCTATGATGGGCAAACACTAATACAAATGTACAACAAAAAGATACAAATTAGATAAAAAGCAAATAATCTACGTAAAACACTAATAAATTACAAGGAACAAAATAGAAGCAAAAATCAAACTAGAAAACAGACAACCTATCTAGATCTTTTCCCTTATTGAGAACGTGCCCTCAAGGGAGACAATGTTTATGCTAAATACGTCCAAAGATTTACATACGTCATTTGCAGCGATGACGCACCTGGCTGAAGGACTATGTCTTATCGCATTGCTCACACTAAAAGTAGAAAATTCTCTTATTTGCCTCGCCGGCACACGTAAACCAACAGCGTCCATAATGGAATTACAATTTATTTTGCCCTTAAAGACATTAACAAGAAAAAACGCGTCGAGATGTCGTCGTCTGGAATAAAGTGTTCTAAAATTTAAAGTAGATAAAATCAATTCATATTTGCTTGGGTTATTAAACTGAAAAATTCGGTAATTGCACAAACTGGCAAATTTTCTTTGAATATATTCTAATTTATTGGAATCTGTCTGTGTAAGATTATTCCATACAACCGAGGCATACTAAAGCTTTGACCTAATTAAAGCATTATATAAAACAACAAGACTGTCTAAAGAGGAACAATTATGAAGTAATAAAATGAATAAGCCCTAAGGTCCTTAGTGCCTGTGTATGAACAAAATTTACATGGCAATGAAAATATAGTTTATAATAATAATAATAATAAATACATGTAGCACGTATTAAAAACAAAATGTATTTCGGAAATAGCTGCTGCACTAGATTTGTCTCGGGTACATAGAAGTAAATACCTATAAAGTTGTGAATAGATGGAATAATAATAATAATAATAATAATAGCTGTAAAAATAAGAATGCAAAAATGGGTCACCAACTCGAGACAATAGTGGACTGCCGTCAATACTGAGAACCACACGGACACCAATCATAAATAAACCTATTTTTCTCACAGCGTGCATCTCATCACTGGATGAAACTGAAAGGCATCGCTGATTGCAACAAGATGGCGCAACACAGCATTCGACAGCGGTAAACAACCTGTGGCCCGTGGCATCCTCTGGAAACTAGCCAGTGCGAGAATGGAAAACATTTTCTGCCACCGAGGAGAACACTGACATTTAAGCGTCAGGGTAAACATCACAACAACAAAATTATTGCACAAAAGGCTTATCGTTCTGCTGTTCAAACCACATGAAATTTAACAAAAACAATATAAAAATTACTGTGGTATTAATGACAAAAAATGGATAACATTAACAACAAATTTAAATCAAGATTGTTTGAAAGGTAACAAACAATCCCTTTACAATAACATTTTAAAAGTCACTTATCTTCCTGTTTTCTAAGTTAATTGTTAAAGCATTTGTTTATCAGATTTCCTGCATTTATTTTCAAGTCATTGTTCATTATGCTTCTATTACAATAAATAAATATGGAACAGTTTCCAGGAATACACACAGCATGAAAATGCACCGCATATTTGAGTTCGCTTGTTTTTGACACAGTTCACAATTCTCAGCTGCGCCTGAAATTAAATGGCTTCTGCAAACAATAGAAACGATACAGATGAGGACCTGATATTTAAAGAACAGTGGACAAAAGACTACTACAATGCGTCTTATTTGCAAAGAAAGCATGTCAGTCCTCAAGGAGCAGAATTTCAAACGTCACTATCAAACAAAACACGAAAATCAGTGCGACTGTTTAGCGGTCGCCTAAGAAATTGTACAATCAACTGAACGGAATCATCTTTAATCTGCAAACAAAATATAGCCTGTTTTAAAGAGGGCGAACAGTTACCAAAGTCACGAAAACCTTTCACAGATGCTGAGTTTGTCAAATTGTGCATCTTGGCAATTGTTACACAACGCTCAAGTAAGCCAATGTTATTCCTTTGTAAAAACAGAGCATTAGCGGCTTACTAAGAGACTATTATTAACTCACTTGTATGGAAAGACGCGATTACTTCGCGTTTTCAAGTAGATACAAGTTGCAGTCTTTAAGTTAACAGATCAGTTATGCCCTTTATTCACCGCGTTATTAATTTATGTAATTTTACCGACTCCTGGCTTACGACAAACACCACACTAAGAGCGTAGCATATTCCCGTTTTAGTTACAAGGCTCTGTTTACAATTTCCAGCAAAGCGTTTCGTACGCAGGAATTGTTACCTAGGAAGAGACGATGTCTTGCGCTTGCGCAGGACTCCGCCCTTAATTAGCTTTTTGGTTGGTTTGTCTGAAGCCACGTAAACTCGTAGGTAGATACAAATGTTTCCTATGAACATACTGTCTCCATCTTCAGCCGTGGTAGGTAGATACCGATGTTCACTCACAAACATGGAGACAGTGTTTCTCCGAAAAAGTGGTATCTAACTACGAGCCTACGTAGCGCCAAAACCCAGACCAGCATCGTCAATGTTTAGTAAATTCTTTGCTGGCAGGGTATTTTCAATTTATTACCTTCAAGACTTCCGACGAACTGCTTCTCGGATAATGTCTGTAGCATGCAGAACTGGAGGAAAACAGTGAAACTTGTAGCTATCAGCAATATCTCAAAAGGCACTTCGTCGTGTCTTAACAAGCATGATAAGAACATTGAACATGTGTAACAATGTACAAGGTCGGGTTCAACATCAACTGAATATTTCGTCAGACACAAAATGTTGAATTAAATCTACGTGTTAAAGAATGTTCTGTTTCGGCGTAATACATTTTGCTTCGAAGGCATGAAGTCAAAACAAAGAAAATCACTCAACAGATACGACACGTTTCCTTTTAAAAATTGCTGTTTCGCCTTAGTGACCGACCGTCTTCAGTTCCCACACTGCATTTGAAAGTGTAACACAAATATGTGCATTAAAATTATGAAATAATAACGATACGAAGTCAAAGACAAGGGACAAAATTTGTATCTCACATCTCGAAATATAATGACATGACTATCCAGCTAGCCACTCCTTCAGCTGGTAATCAATCAGTCGATCAATTCCCTGCTTTTTACGCAAAACAAAAGTTCACCGTATTAAACCGCCGTTACCGGACGCTAACCTGCGCCAGCTGAATTCAATCCACATCCCCACATTGCATTTCCATTCTTAAGCTTACCACATTTATCACTGATTCACTATACGAGGTACATTGCTTTAAGAGAATCTGCAAGCTGCTTATACACGAGACACATGTCCCTGATATGACGACATTCGAAAGATATGGGTCACCCATAACTAAGAAATTAATGACATAAATTCAGTCAGTGTAATATGCCAAGCCACAGTGAAGATGCTTAATGTTTAAAATTATTCTCCACGCGAGGAGTTTCTGTCTGCCCTTGTCTTGTCTACAGTCATCTCCAGGAATAACTCTAAAATGACGGAGAATCTGAGCTATATGTGTGTGACGTCGGGGAGGGTGTACAAACAGGAAACACTCCCCAGAAAGAGTCTAACACGTGTTCTTACATCTGTCATCCACCCCGTCTTGACAAAACTTAAAAATACAGGGTATCGAAGAGACTGCATTACACATTTCCATCTGTGATGAGTTACTTTTCAGTAAGCCAAGAATTAAGCTACTTAGAATCACAGGAGTTTGCTAGCTATAAATAATATGTATCATTCAATTGCACAAACGTTTTGTTGTAAAATGAAGTTCTCGACTCGAAAGCTGTAATAAATACCAGAAGTTTCTACGCGTTTTTTTTATTTTGAATTCTATATGCTCCTAGCTGATGTAAAAAAACCACACACATACTACATTATACTGTACAAACTTTCGTATCATCAGCATAAGCGTAGCACCAGATAGCAGGCAATGTAAAACATAAAGGCAGCCTATTTCCTCAACACAAGATTTATTCATCAACACTCTCCTACTTCTTATTCACAAAATAAAAGAGCGAACTGGTTTCTGAGGCACATACATTCCACTATATCAGTAAAATTCCCGAAAATGTGTGTCTTTTCTTCTCCAATGTTTAATTTAATCAGGATTTGAGGTTTTCACGGCGGTGTTTCATTTGTTTATCGGAAAATGATTGTGGAGAGAAAGTCAAAGATTCAGAAGGGGATGACTTTGTATTACGAATTCATCAATGAATGCAGTATATAGTAAATTTACAGCCACAATGTGTTGAAATGCCGCTTAACCTGATAATTTAAAAAAGTTATCAATAAAATACGTCAATTATCTTACTTTGGCAAATTCAATTTACAACTGAGCAAATCCTTTGTTCGTAGTATCGTCTTTAGGTAATAAAACTCGATAACAACGTAACACAATTCACGTTGCCTCTGCGGCAGCGTATCGTACTGGGTTCATGCGTATTAAGTCATGGGATCGAATTCTGGTCGAGGCAAATTTGTTTCACAACATTACACAATTAATAACTCAACATTTGACGTGGCTCACACCGGAAAGCCAAAGTTAAACATTTTTTATTATTTCAGATACTATTGGTTGAAACATATTACAAGAATCTAATGTGGAAAACAGAAACTTAAAACGGGCAGAATTACACCTCAACCTCCACTGTAGAATAATTTATGTACAGCCTTTTTACAATTAGTATTTTTAAACAACAGCACAGTGGACGACGTCATAATTTGTGACGAAATAGTCACGAAAAAATAAATGAGAGGCCACGAAGCATGGCAAGGATATAAAGAATCACGAGTCATTTCCGTTTCCGAGGGTTCAACCGATAAATTTCAAATACACATCAGATGTGGCAACACAGAGTACTAATCGTACTGAAAAGTTTGAGAAAATGTGTTTAAAATAATCTCGGTTTACTAACGTTCGATTTACGAAGATTCGCTATAACGAACGCCACAAATCATTCAAAGTTTCTTAAAGTCGCCAATAGATAGAGTTCCTTATAAAACGAAATGCCAAACGTATAGTGAACATAATTGTAAGATTTAAATAAATAAACTTTTAAAAAATGTATTTATTAGAAAACACATTATAATAAAACGTATTGTATAGACCAGTTTTATTCAACCTGGAGTACGCGGACCTCCGGGGGTACGCGAAGACATCTTAGGGGGTGCGTGAAATTTAAAAAATATATATATTATTTTATGATAAACACTGAATAATCAGCTATGTATTTTATTTCATTCATTTTACATGTAGATTATATACTATGTATAACCTGAATTATACACCAACAACTTTGGGGGTACAAAGTTGAAGAGAAATTATATCTGGGAGTACGCGAACAAAAAAGGTTGAATACCACTGGTATAGACCATTCGATGTTTTGTACATGGTTTTAATGCTTTAAAATGGCTGCTAACGTATACTATACTTGTCGTAAAAGCTCAGAAATGCAAGATACACATAACGAACAAAAACGTATAACGAATAACGTCTTGGAACGGAACTCGTTCATAAATCGAGAGTTGCCTGTACGGGCGCGTTTTAAAAACCGGAAAACGATGTCGAGGTATGCGAAATACGTACAAAACATTAATTGAAAAATCCTACAGCGAAAGACCTTCGTACAGACGGAAGGTTACAAAATAACCTAACCTAAAATTGTCTGTAAAACTCCGTTCTTGGACTTTGTCCATTGTCTAAATTACGAATAAAAACGTTTCGGAAGCTAGACATTATTTCGTCTTAAATAAATAAGCTAGGCGGTCCAGGTTTATGGCCCAGTGCCTAGGGTTTCTGTCCTTTTACTTTATACCTCAAGACGGCAGAAGACCCAGCATCCGAAACGTTGTTTTATTTATAATTCATAACTGACTATGTCCAAGAAAACAAGTTTACTGATTATAACGCACTATCGACTGAAACATTCAGACTTCAGCTTTACTAAAACAGACTTTAGATGCATAGAACGTGGGGCATAAAGCGGATTCAAACGCATGTAACCAAGTGTCTTGGAATATGAATTCAAGCAAGTAGACCGACTTACAATAATTTAGCACTGAATGTGTTGAACCTGTTGTACGTAAATCCTAATTCACCTCCCCCAAGCGCGTACATGGCGTTCAGCGAGGCAGCTTTACTTTTACGTACAGTGAGGCGTGTAAATAGTCTGCGCGCCTAATGCCCGGCAATCCTCAGAACCTGACCATCGTAAGTCTTGCCACATCTCCTACAGCGGCGGGTGGCAGGTCGAGGAAAGTCACGAGGTCAACAGATGAGAGAGAGAAGGTCGAAGTGTTCTTGGTGCATTCCACAGAAGCAATGGCCTACCTGTGAAAACACTTCAGTGTGCTTCCTACGAGCAAAATCTCTAAGATCTGTACTTTCTGAGACGAATATAGCCTTTCAACAAAAAAAGAAATTCCCTGTTTCTTACGGACCCTGATATTTCAATTATCGAGTTCACAAGAACCAACCATTTTCCTATTACGACACAGATAAATCTTGTCATCCACACCCGAATTATTTTCAGAACTATTTTAATATTATCATCCCATCTATGCCTAGGTTTTCAAAGTGATTTCTTTCCTTCTGGCTTTCCAACCAAAATTGTTCAAGAGCTCCATACCCCGACCATATCAGATTTATTGAATTTGATCATCGTAATAATATCTGGTGAAGACCACAAATTAAGGATCTCGTCATCGTATATTTCTTGCCTCTATCCATGCATCCCTCGTGTGTCCAAATTTTCTCAGCACCTTGTTCTCAAACAAGCTTAATCTGCGTTCTTTCCTCTTGTAAAATTAGTTCTGCCATTTCAATGTTCACGCTTTTAAATAAACGGACGGTACTTTTAGACCAAATTCATTACTAGCTAGTATCAGCAATCTCATCCTAAAAATATCTACTAACGGGTCTGGTGCATTGCCTACAACTCAGTCAATAAGGCACAAGCGTCCCTCAAATGTCGCAACTGGAATGTGACTCTCATATTAACATCAGAGGTTAAATATTCCCATTCGTCTCCACTGCGTGGTGCTTGTTCAAGAACTGAGATAACTTCACCTTTGCCTGATAACATTGTGAAGCAACCAACGCAAATTTAAAAAGAACGCGCGCACAGCTACTTCAAATGTATTGCGAAGAAAAGACAATCTTAGTAAAATAATTTTCTGAGAAAAGGGCAGAATGTCAAATTATGCACAACGTAACCAGCGCCAATTCCACATAGTGTTTCGGTTGAAGTGATTAATGGAACAGGATTTCTGGCGTTAAGCAGTGCATGAAATGCTTCATTACGCAACCGTTAAAGGCAGGAACGAATAAAATTAGTAGAGCTTTTGTAACGAAAGAACTCGGAAAATGTCATCTCTATGTCATGTGTTTTTCAGCAATCTGGCGAAGTGAACGCTCTGGTAGAACAAATTCGGTTTTAAAAAATAAAACACAGCGTACCGGTACACAAACACTCTACATTCCTGATTTGACACACAGGCCTGTACCAATTCCCATATTTTTCAACTTATTATTTATAATGACAGTAAGTGAAACCTAAATTCTACTTATAATAAATTCTTCTCGGGCTACCAGCCGTGTAAGGTGGCTTAATAAAGAAAACACCAGCGTTTCGAGAACCATCTTAGTCTCCATCATGAAGGGGAACAATTTATTACACTTAGTCGCCGCGAAAGCTTCAGATTATACGAAATTCTACTTTCCACAGGATCAAGTAAAAACTGGGTTATACCTCTAAAAATACTTGTCATTCAGTAACAGCGAAACTGGCGAAAAAGATCCGTTGAAATTAAACAGGGAATGATTCACTTTCTAACTTCATCCGTTACTCTTTCTTCCTTTCCTTTGTCGCTTTACAAGCACTTCTAAAAGCTGCCTAATATTAGCAGCACTTGTCAAATATAGCATACTGCCACTGAGCGTACTTATTATGAACTTGGTCGATACAACATAACACACGCGGGCATTGGCAATTTCGTATTATGTATGATCTATAGATTTCGACTAAATTCAATTAAGTGTTCGCGGGTGGTCGCGAGACCGACCGTGGACCGACACGTTTCTCGAAACGTCGGTTTCTGATATCATCTCACACCGCTGATTGCCCGAGAAGACTTGATTAAATGTCCTATTACGTGGGAATCCACAGATGATGAATCAGTACGTTAATGCACAAACGTCTAAACAGCTGTTTCTTCCCCTAAGAAGTGATCTCTTCTCTGTAACATCACCTACACAGTTTGTTCTTTGCGCCGAGTAATTAAAGTCTTATCTTGCAACTTGAAGTAAAAAACCAAGTTAAGAAACAA